TAGACTGGCCCTCCACATCAACATGTGACTGGCGCCACACAGTTTCAGCCGCCTGAGCTAGCCCCGCTGCTGATACACGACACAGGCCAATTGAAAGCAGCAACACGCTTGGCGAAAGAATACAATTTCTCGTAGAAAGGTCTACATGGAAACCACTTGCTTTGCCCCGGAAAGAATCCGCCGCACCCGTAGTAGAGTGCGGCTGAATAGGGCATGACCAACTGACCTGCCAGGAGGCCTTCCGAAAAATTGACGCACTGCACTTCTGAGCCTAGGCGTAGTAGATGTTTCTGCAGCAGTATATACTGGTATCCCAGCAGTATATGACCATGTTTTATCCAATAATGTCCTCTTCTTTGCCAAAAAGCTGAGTGGGATTGAAAGCCCCCACTGTAGGTCCAACAAATCCTCACCAGATTGAGGAGGAAGCAAAGCATCCCAATAGGATGTTAGAAGGCAAAGGCAAAAAAAGCGCTGCCAAAAAGCAAGAAAGCCAATCCTCGTTTTTCGTGATGATCCGAAACGATAACCGCTGTCCAAGATTCGGTTGACGTCGAAGCACATCACAATGCAGTCCAGTGGCTGTATGAATGGAAAGTACTGTACTGGCAGGTCTGTGAATGCGCTCAGAGCAGGAACGTGGGCCATCGGGTCCCTCGTCTAAGTCCCGAAAACATGTACAAGATAAACATTTGGGCTCCCACAGGAAGGCACCTCTATATATGGTATTTATATAGGTTGGGTGTTTCCACATGTTGACTTCAGACTTCCTGCTCATGTCGCTTCATTTGCCAAGACACATCAAAAGGCCGCTGCAGAAAGAGAGACGATTTTACCCTTGTTTGTAACTTATATATATAATTAATAGTAACCAATGAAATCTTTGTTTGCAACGCAATGCTTTCCCTTTGTTCCTGAATGCCATCGAAAGCTTGCTGTTGGTCGCTAACAGACAAGCTGGGCACGACCAATAACTTTGCGTTCCTCCATTCATCCTTGCAAGACCTGGCAATGCTGTAAGAGAACATCATGTGCGTCAGATTCCAAGAAAGGGTCCAGCCGCGCTGCAGCAAGGCCGTAGAAAGCGCCTGTGTGGTCAATCACGGCCATTGCTCACAGATATGTCCCGGAATGGCCACCGAAACAGGAGACCTAACACTGGGAAAACACCATCGAACCTTGCCTTTGAAGCCTTTCCTTTTAGGCCTCGTTCAATGAATCTTCAACTATACTGTCACTCCTGGCCTGATGGCCTGATTCTAGCCTTTTCTATGTTTGGAAACAGGCCTGTGAGTTCAAACATGTTCAAATGAGAGCACATGCAAATCAAGCAGGAACAAACATGTTTATCAAGGAGAACCGAAAGGATTCTTTTCATCATGTCTGTTCTATCACCCATCCTATGGACTGTTTCCATTTGTTTCCTTTCCGGCTTGGGTATGTTTGTAGAAAAGAAACGACGAGGACGTCAACATATTTTCAATACTCTGATGATCCTGATGGCTAGAACGCGCTGCTGGATGTTTAAAGAAAAACATGTTTTTTGAACATTGTTCCGGCAGACCATAGGAAAACCAGGAACAATCTTGACGGGGAAATTGACTCATTTTGGGAAGCACTCGGAGTTTGCAAAAGCACGTGACTAGAAACACATTGACAAGTGATAGTGCTGAAGGCAAAATAGAGCTGCAAAAAAATCAACATGCTAACATGCGAAAAGATTGATGTCTGTTAAGTCTGAGTCTAAGTATCTTCAGTCGTGGCTGTGTGCTAGTTGATTCAGACTCATCCTCTGAGCCACTCTCTGATCGACATCCACGCGCAGATTCAACCTCTTGGGATGCTTGGAGGCTTTCTTGCACTTCCTCATTGTAGACATCCTGCCACTCTGAGGATTCTGATCTCTCCATGGCGATTCAAACCGCAGTGATCAGTGCCCTGGAACAAATGCTGAGATGAGCATCCAATTGGATTATTGGTGACCTGAGCCTAACCCCCTAACAACCCCTTGGTCCATGGCCCATGGCCTTTCACTGCTGACTGCTTTCTGAAACAGCTGCTTTCTGAAACAGCGGCAGGTTTGCCAGGTTTGCCAGGTTCAGCAGCAAACACACAGCGGAAAGAAATAGTTCCAATATGAAAAAAAAATCAAAATCGAAATGAAAAAAAATAAAGTTCAAAATGAAGTTATATGTGTAATCCAAATGGATCCAAATGTAAAAAACATAAAAAATGACCACCAAATCAAAGCTCTTCTCTGGCTCGATTGGAGGTATGAAAAAAAACACAAATCCAAATGAATAACCAAAGGATAAAAAAATGACAAAATAAATATTGTTGCTTCTATCAGAGCGTGGCTCTAAGATTCTTATAAAACACTCCGATCAGAACGCCAGGGTGGCAAGAGAGCCAACAACTGGAACAGCGGCAGAGATCTTTTGAACTTCGCAACATGGTTCCTCCACACAACCAGCTTTATCATTTGCCCTAGATCGGCCCACTGCAAGACTATGATGCTCATGATTATAGAAGGATGGTGGAGGTTAGAGAAGAATAGGGGCAATGCCGCATCAAAACTGAAGCACTCAACCGTATTTACATGCTAAGAAACCGCGAAAAGACACTGTCACAAACGATGTCAAGTCATCAGGATATTCTCATGTCATCAGCCTTGACGATGAGGGGACGGGGTTTATTTGGTCTCAGGAATGGCGACACGCAATCCTTCAGCCCAGAATTGCTGAAACCTCAGATGGAACGGGCTATGCTCATGACTTAGAGTACTTATTTGTTACATTTTGTTACTTGCCATTGACAGTATTGAGGCGACATGATGACATGATGGTGAATTGCTGTTACTAGACTCCCCGTTGAGGGCCGGCTTCACCCCTCTCTCACATTTGCCTTTAGCATTTGTCGCGCCCCAGGTGCCCCAAGATTCGTGCGAAGATCATGTTAATGGGCTGGTCACATTTTCACACATCTTCCACCAATGCTATATGTTCCTCATAGAAGCCGGGTTTTACACAATGCTTCTCTTCCTTTGCCATACTCCACGGCTGAGGCAGCAAATGCTTTTGAAAGTGAAGGATAGATTTGAGCGTTCGAGTGCAGTGACAGCTTGAATTGTGAATCCTTTTCGGTGGGCCTTGAATTGTTGGGGCACCGAAGATGTGGCCATTGAAGCTTCAGCCTTTGATGCCCGCATCGACCGCCCCAGGCTCTAAACACTGCCATCCTTTTGTTTAATCGCGGTTTGCGATGGAGCCTTGTCGGCTCGTTCAGTGTAGAACACATCAACGCATATCAACGCAATAACTGGAGAACAAGGGGGAAGTACATGTGGAACCCAGGACAGAAGATGGGGCTTCTGCCATCCGCAGGTGTGTGGCAGGTTTCGGCTTTCACTTGGCAGCCTTTTCGCTCAGCGATACTCGTTTTCCGCGCAAATGCCGCATTGGGAATCCCCTGCGGGCAGTTTCAACAGTCTGACAGAGGACTTCAACAAAGGCAGGAATCTCCAAAAGCCTTTTGTTTATTAATATCTTGTTACATGTTGTTTAATAACCATGTTGGTCCAATGTTGTGTGTTGGCTTGTAACATGTACGTCAATGTACGTAGCATTGTTTGTTGAAGGCTTTTGGCGCCCTGCAATTATCTCCGCTTGTATTGTCCGGCGTCCGGCCTTTCTGAGTACAGATGCCTAAGGTGGGTATCATCCGAACTGTCCCAGAGCCGAACAGAAACACGTGGCGAGTTTACTGGCAATGACCTCTATCCATTTAGAAAGAGCTTCTGTGGGATTTCATCGCTATTAGGTTGGAGGCCATTGCTATTAGGTTGGAGGCCCTTGCTATTAGATGCTATTAGGCTGGACTTTGCTATTAGGTTGGAGGCCATCGCTATTAGGTTGGAGGACATCGCTATTAGGTTGGAGGCCATCGCTATTAGGTTCGAGGCCATCCGCCATCGCTATTAGGTTGGAGGCCATCGCTACTAGGTCGAAGGCAATTGCTATTAGGTTGGACTTCGCTATTAGGTTGGAGGCCATTGCTATTAGGTGTGAGGCCATCGCTACTAGGTTGGAGGCCATTGCTATTAGGCTGGAGGCTGTCGCTATTAGCTTGGAGGCCATCGATACTAGGTTGGAGGCCATCGGCCATGGCTATTAGGTTGGAGGCCATCGCTATCTTGTTGGACTTCGCTATTAGGTTGGAGGCCATCGCTATTAGGTTGGAGGCCATCGCTATTAGGTTGGAGGCCGTCGCTA